AAAAAAAAGAATTACTAATTATGTTTGTTTCACGGTATGCTTCTCTTTCTCAGCTAATACAAAAAAAGAATTGCCAAAAAAGTTACGTCCTCAGGAAATGGCCCAGAACACGAGGCACCCTAATTTAATGAGTTCTGTGCTTCCCAACTATCCTCAATACGTTTTGAAAATTTTCGATCCGAAACATTTAGAATTTATCCTTGCATTTGTCAAATGAGATACTTAATCAGAAAGGATGAAAACTATAAAACAACCACAGCCAGAAAAGAAGAAGAAAAAAGCCTACCATGAAATCATTTTGGTTTTCAGACTTCCCCCCCCCCCCAGGAATTCCCCTTCACTGTAGAGAAAATAGCCTTACTTACATGTAATGTAGTTTAGGCCTTAAAATAAAGTATCCTTTCATCTGGAGCACAAGTTCCCCAAAATTAAAGTCCTTCCTGCTATGTCAGGAGTCCTGCTGGAAGTTTTATGCCTTCATAAGAGGGTGATCACAATCTGCCAGCACTGGCTCTCTTGATAAGCAGGAAAGTCAGCCTAGACTGCAGCAAGCCTAGACCAATAGAAAGCCCTTTATATATTTCTTCAGCACTTCCTAACTATAAAGGATGCATTTATTTGAGTTAGCAATATCCTTATTTAAAATACCCTGGTCGGACCTACCTGTCAGTCATCTGCACCTGCCACTCATAGCTTGCTCTCCATCTTAGATAAAGCCTCACTTTGTTTTCAATCATCTCCCCCAGGAGGAGTTCCTCCTGAGTGTTTTAATGGGAAAGAAGTTGGAAAAGGAATGTGTAATTTTAGAAACCTCTGGCAGAAGAGTAGGTGTGGTGGCAATGCCAGAGGTGGTGATAGTGGGAGATCTTTTGAAAGTGTGAGAACTGTTTTGGGGGAGAGACAGGAGACAATAGCTTGCGAAGTGGAGGCTGCTGAAAGTTAACAGAAAGCAGGAAGCAGAAAGGAAACAGAAAGCAGAGACCAAAGGTTACTAAAAGGGAAATTATCTCTCCTGCAAGATTTTGCCAAAACCTTTGGTTTTTTTATGATGGAGGGAGAAAGGGAGGTGGGATTCAGTCCTTATTCTGAAATAAGAGTTCATGGTGCCCAACCACCAAAATAAACACAGCCATCCTCACACTTGTGCCAGTTCCCAGTATCAGCCAAAGGTGTTCACAATCAAGGCAGGCAATAAATTTCATTCAGTAAATACTTGTTGATTTTTTACACTTCAATAATTCAAAAGGAGTAGGTCATACCAGGCATAGTTCTTTATGCTTGAGATAAACCACTGTTTTTTGTTTGATTTCCTGAAACACTCCTGTTTTATAGGTAGTATATGGCAAGTAAATTTTTGTAATGTAACTGCATTATGTTTATTTTGCTTTAAGAGTTTTTCAAAATAAAAATTTAGTATTCATCAATACAAATGGAGAAAGTTAGGGTTGTAACAAAATGAGGTTTTGAAATTGCTGCAAAAGTCTTCCATAAAAGTGTTCACGGGAACGTTCGTCCTAAAACTGAAAAATCCAGAAACCCTGAATATTTCTTATAAGTGGGAAAATCTGGAGGCAACCTAAGTGTTTAACCACTGAGCAATAACTAAATTATGGTACAACCACTGATATGGTTTGGTTCTGTGTCCCCACCCAAATCTCATCTTGATTTGTACTCACATAATTTCCAGGTGTTATGGGAGGGGCCCTGTGGGAGATCATTTGAATCATGGGGGTAATTTCCCCCATACTGTTCTCATGATAGTGAATAAGTCTTACAAGATCTAATGGTTTTATAAGTGGTTTCTGCTTTTGCATCTTCTTAATTTTCTCTTCCACTGCCATGTCAGAAGTGCCTTTTGTCTCCTGCCATGATTCTGAGGCCTCCCTAGCCATGTGGAACTCTAAGTCCAATTAAACCTCTTTTTCTTCTCAGTCTCGGATATGTCTTTATCAGCAGAGTGAAAGTGAACTAATAAAGGCACACAATGTAATATACCTCCTTCAGCAAAAATGATAATCCTAAAGTAAAAATGGTAACAAGAAAGCATCTGTAATACAAGTAAGGATAATATGCAAAGAATATGTATGCATGTGAACAAAGAACAAAAAAAATATTCATCCCAAAATAAACACTTCCTCTGGGTTAGTGATAAATTTGAGCTTCATAGATGGGGAACAGGGGTCAATGAGAACAGGAAGAGGCTGAATTCTATACTGAGTTTGGAAATACTGTTAGTTCCCTGGCCTGGGACAAATAATCTGTTCCTTCTTCTCCCCAGCAAGGGGATGTCCTGGAGCAGGAACAAGAGGAAAGTGGAGGCTGGGGACCTACCTTGTAATAGTCATAGAGCAGGCCGAGGGCAGCAGCACTGTCCTCATCACCATTAATGCTCATCATGGCCTTGGTGGCCGCCGTCAGGGGATTCTCCAAGTATGACTTCCAGGCTTCATCCTCACTGGTATAGGCTCTTCGAGTATTGAATGGAGGGTCACTGGGCATGGGCACCAAGGCCACTAGTCTTTTATTACTGTAAAAGCAAAAGAAATGTGAGGTTCATTATCAGAGAGGGAAAATTTTTTTTACCCCTAATAATATACACATTACATGACTACAAACATTAATTTTTATTTCCCCAGAATGGGGGAGCGGGAAGGGAAGAAGATTAAAGTTAAAGCGATAGCCATTGGTTTAAGTTTTTACTGTCTATGAGAAGTAATATTAAGTCTTTAAAAAGTAGTACCAGTAGTATATGTTGGTGTTATGCTTTGAATGTTCATCCCCTCCAAAATCTAAGCTAAAATTTAATCAACATTGTGATGGTATTGGAAGGTAGGGCTTCCACGTGGTGTTGGGCCCACTCCTCGTTAAGAGGTGTTTAGGTCATGAATGGATTAATGCCATTATCAAAGGAGTGGGTTCCTTGTGACTGAAATGGTTTCATCCATTCTTGTTCTCTTTCCATCTTGCTCTCTCTTTACCCTTCCGCCTTCCACCATAAGATGATGCAGCAAGAAGGCCTTTGTCAGATGCCGTGCTTCGATCCTGGACTTCCCAGCCTCCAGAATTGTGGGCCAATAAGCTTCTACCCAGGGTCAGGTATTCTGTTATAGCAGCACAAAATTGACTAAGACAGTTGGTTCTCTTTAAACACAGGGCTTTGTATCTAGTCATTCTAGTGGCCAAGTAATTTTATTTAATTATTATTTTTTTCTTTTTTTGAGACGGAGTTTTGCTCTTGTCCAGGCTGAGATGAAATGGCACAAGCTCAGCTCACTGAAACCTCTCGGGTTCAAGGATTCTCTGTCTCAGCCTCCCAAGTAACTGAGATTACAGGTGCCCGCCACCACACCCGGCTAATTTTTGTATTTTTAGTAGAGACAGGGTTTTGCCATGTTGGCTAGGCTGGTCTCAAACTCCTGACCTCAGGTAATCCATCTGCCTCAGCCTCCCAAAGTGCTAGGATTACAGGCGTGCACCACCACAGCTGGCCTAATTATTCTTTATTAATGAATGCAAGAATGGAACCCTAAGAGAGAGAAGATTTAAAATTCTCCGAGTTCTCATTATAAATATGTGCAAGAAATTAAATGTAATCAATATGCTAATGATTTTTGAAAACTGTTTTATCTAGTTTAATCTATGCTTGAAATTACTAGCAAACTATAGACCAACCCATGTCTCCATTTCAAAAGGCAATGCAAGCTACTTTGCAAACACAATGTATTACAGGTAATGCTGTGTAAAATGATATGGAACAACAGTAATGAGATGGACTCTATTATAGATCCTGTGCTGCTACAGAATTCTACAATATTTAGGTGATATAAAAGCTACAAGCTACAGGCATGAGCTGACAGATGTAGGAAAAAAAGAAACAAGCTGCAAACTACAAAGACCATCATGGAGAATGAGGGAGTCTATATGGGGAATTGACAGTAGAGACAGAAATGGGTAGGAGTCAATCCTGACCAAGCCAGCCTTGCATAAAGCAGCAATTGGCAAACAAGGCAATGTCTTCCAGTGAGTGTCAACTCAAGTACCCAAAGACCACGACAGCCCTCAGCATCTCCCCATGCTAGGTACTCAGCTATCAAATAACAGAGCCTGCAGAGGTTTGGTCACTTCTCTCCTAGCCCTTGTATGCTTGTTCATTGAAATGGAACAATGAGATATTGTATTTCAGTAACATCTATGTCAACACAGCGTAGCATGGCAGGGACATGTGAAAGGAAGGAAACACCAACATCAGTCAATGGAAATGCAACTGCTAAGGCCTTCTGATGGTCATGCAGCCATGAAAGAGGTCTCCTTTTGCCAAGAACCAATATATATCGGAGCAGATGCGGCGAAAAGGGAACACTTATACATCATTGATAGGAATGTATATTAGTACAATATCTATGGAAAACAGTATGGAGATTTTTCAAAGAAACAAAAGTAGTTCTACCATTTTTTCCAGCAATCCCATTGCTATTTACCCAAAGGAAAAGAAGTCATTATATTTAAAAAAAAAAAAAAAAAAAAAAGACACCTCCACTTGTCTGTTTATTACAGCACAATTCACAATTGCAAAGCTATGGAAAAAACCTATGTACCCATCAATCGATGAGTGGATAAAGAAAATGTGGTGTGCACAAACACACAATGAAATACTACTCAGCCATAAAAAAGAATGAATAAGGTCTTTTGCAGCCACATGGGTGGAACTGGAGGCTACTATCCTAAGTGAAGTAACTCAGTAACAATGACAAAAACAAATACCACATGTTCTCACGTAAAGTGGGAGCTAAGCAGCTATGGATACGCAAAGGCAAACAGAGTGATGTAATAAACATTGGTACAACGTACACTTTTCAAATGCACTAAAAGCCCAGACTTCACCACTATACAATTCACCCATCTAACTAAAAACCACCTGTACCTCTACAGCTATTGAAATGAAAAACGTAGAAATAAAATAAAGTAGAAAATAAAGAAAAGGAGGGGAAAAAAAGAGGTCTATTTTTGCTGACACTCCTGTGAGATCTCCTAATGGTAGATGGTTCCTTAGCTCACTCTGTGATGGAGAACTGGTGTAAACTCACAACCAAGACTGTGTCAAGGGCCTTTTATGTGCTGTCATGGTGCATGCCTTGATATAAGGTCAGAAAAAGGACACTGACATAAGACATATTTGGGTGAGGCAGATGGGAAAGGCATGTTTAGCTGAGTGGAATTCTGGGCTAGATGGTTGCTAGGCCTCTGAATCAGGCTCTTTGAGCCAGTGGTTTGGTGAAACTCATTGGAAAGAAAAAGAGAACATCGACTCAATTGCAAATGAGTTGGATTACAAGGGTATAATGAGGCTTCTTGGAATACATGAGAAAACACCCTGGTTGGCAGACTTACTACGATACCATTGAGCACCGTCGTGACATGGAGCAGCATAGGCCTTAGAAGAAGGTACTTGTTCACTATTTACAGTGGGGGGAAGCTGGATAACGTCTAACCTTCAGTTTCTTCTGCCTTAAATAGGAATAGCAATGCCCACCCTACTTAACTTACAACGTGCTTATGAAAATCAAATAATTGAAAAAATAGGATTCTGCAAACTGCAGAGTGCTTTACAAATCACAGGTATGATTATCACTGCACAGTTTTATGTTCCTGTAAAGTTTGTGGATATATTCATTTTTAGTAAAGTTGAGTATAATTTAAAAGCTTTAAAGATAGTCATTAATTGAAGGGAAATTTAAGTTGTTCATTTAACTATATTCTTAAAATATTTATTAAGAGCCTAATAGGTGCTAGACATTGTGCTGGTTAAGGATGGAGTGGCATGTGACATACTCTTCCTTACCACATGCACCTGCCAGGGAGAGAGAATATCACTATTACAGGGCCATCCGTGTGAGAAAGGACACAGGTGGTGTTGTGAGGGCACACGACAGAGGGAACTAATGAGAGGACAAAGAAGTGGGCCAATGTTTCTACCAAAGCTGAAGCATAGGTGGGAATGTGCTGGTCAATGCTGAAATGGAGGGATGTGAGAAACGCTTTTTAAAGTGAAGGATAAGGCTCACGCCTATAATGCCAGGACCTTGGGAGGTTGAGGTGGGCAGATCACAAGGTCAGGATTTCGAGACCAGCCTGGCTAACACGATGAAACCCCATCTCTACTAAAAATACAAAAATTAGCCAGGTGCAGTGGTGCACACCTGTAATCCCAGCTACTTGGGAGGCTGAGGCAGGAGAATCACTTAAACTGGAGAGGCAGAGGTTGCAATAAGTCAAGACTATGCCATTGCACTTAAGCCTGGGTGACAGAGCAAGACTCCATCTCAAAACTGAAATAAAATAAAGTGAAGGGTATTTTGGTAGTACAGAATAATGGCATTTTCTTACAAAAGGAGCACATTTGTATTTATTTTGGAGACTCCGTTAGAAAAATTTACATATTTAATGATAAAATAACATTTCCATGTAGAAAACTTCTAACTATGCAGGGTTGGATTTGGAGACAGGAAATGCTGGTGGACTCCTGAGGGTCTATCATGAGGCCTCCGGGAAGAACTAAGAAGGCAGAGGTAGTGGGCCTGGGCTATGACAGTGTCACCTAACCCCCAACAATTGATTAGTTGGGGCCACCCTGGTTGCCTGGTCTGCAGCCTTCACTTGGAGAGTAAATAGAGGATTTGGAATCTCGGTCATTACTCACGAGGGCACAGGCATCATGCAAACTTCCAATAATGCCCAGTCCAGTGGGAAGGACTTCACATTATTTGGAATTATCACACCATTGAAAAGGATAAGGATTTTACTCTGTCATGCCTCAAAGAAGTACACATTGCTGTGGAGGAGCGGGGGTGGGGTGAGGTGTTAATTATAACACTGGCTACATTTCAAAAGTTTAGCAGGAAGCACCAAGCTGAAGGATCAGAGCCAAGTCTCAATTTTCACTAAGATATGCCCTGATTCACTGGAGAGGTTTTCCCCTAAATCTTCCTTCTTAAAATCCCTACTCCCTCCTGCTGGGTCTCTTAGCTTGTTGATTTCATCTTTCCTGGCACAAAGCTTTGCTCATAAATGTAAGAGCTCCATCAGTCTTTCTCCCATAATGAAATCGCTGATGAGTCCTTACATAATCAGTGGAAACAATATTCGGGGAAATCACAACTTTATTAGCCATTTCTTTGCCATTCTTGACAGCCACAGGGGCCTTTTATGCTCTTCCCTTTAGGTAATGACTTTGGTTTTTTTCTTTGTAGATTATAATCTCCCTGGTACAGAGCACTGTTGAATGAAGTTTAATTTAATAAAAACAGAATAATCTCTCTGGTACACTGAACAAAAATATAGACTGTAAAGAAAGGAAAGTTTCATAGAGCAGCTTTCACCAGAGTTAGGAACACTCTGAAGCTGTTTTATTAATGCTCTTTTTGAAGGGCAATTCTAATTCTACTCTGGACCACTTCTTAAATGTCCTTTGTAAGGCTTTAGGTGGGCTATGTCCTCAAACACAGAACGGTAAAGAGTTATTGTAAACTC